GAGAGGACTGACTGGGCTCGATCAACATTGGTCAATGCCGGTCAACGCCCGGTCAATGACAATCAACTCTCTCGAAAATCCCAGGGTTTCGCTCAGGTAAATTGGCAATAAACATCCTAGGCACACTGCGTGCCTCCAGATTTAATTTATTCCCCCTCCCTGCGGGCCTCCGGTTGATTTTATCCAGACCGTCAACCCCCAAGGTACGTTATCTAAACCCTCCCCTTTGTGGCAGATTGTTTTAGTTGGTAAAATTGAATTGTTAATTGTTGTTTTCTTCAATTCTTGTGCTTTGAGGGTGACTTTTGGGAGTTGGGTGGAATTAATTAATCCCACTTGTTGTCTAGATTTATTTAGGTGCCAAATTATCCATTTTTGCTAATTGTTGCATGCTGCCTGTAGTTATTAAAGTGTATACTTTGTAGCCCATGTTGAATTTATTTTTTGTTCAAGTTATTTGTGTAGTTTTGTGTTGTTGCAATGACTGCTAACCAATATGGTATGCTTCCATTCAATAGAAAAATAGACTTTGATATTTGGAAAGTTTATAGAGCTATTACTGATCAGTACTTAGATTCTGAGGATAAATCTAAACAAATAGAAATGATGAGACAGCCTGTTCTACCATTTACCCAAATTTGTGTAATTCTATCCTTAGGAAAAGTAGGCATTCTAGAGTTTAATAAGGAGCTTTGGGATAAGTTAAAATCTCTATATACTGACACCTCTTTACCTGGAAAACGGTTTTTACTTGATTTTTTTTAATTTTAGACTTGACCTAACTAAGGATATTGATGAAAACCTAGATGTTTTTCATGAGCCGATTTAAAATATAAAACAAGTTGGTGATAAGCGTATTGATGATTACACCCCTATTATTTTACTCAATGCCATCCACAATTCCTATAATGATGTTAATGTGACATTAAGTATGGGAGCGATGAAATTCCTCTAGATATTGTGATTAATGGCTTGAAAAGTAAAGAATTTGATTTAAAACATTCTAGAGGGCATAGTAATCAATCTAAGGATTCTTTTGAGGCCTTTTTCGTTAGGGATATATCTAAAAGCATGTTCAGGTACCCTAAAAAGGATAACCATGATAAAACCAGTAGACAACCATGTAAGAAGAGGTATAAGTCTAATAAGAAAGTGTGTTACAATTTTGGCAACACTGGCCATTTCATTAAAGATTGTCCAACCATATGAAGACCAAGCATGCTAATGTGGTAGTTGTCAAACTCTGTGTTAAGTAGATTAGCTGAGAATGAGTGGTTGATTGAGTCTCGACGTACTTATCATATGACACTTTTTAGATCCCTGTTTTCTTCTTATGATGTTTGTGATGTTGGGTATGTTTCTCTAGCTGATAATAAGAAGTGCAAAGTGCATGGGTGGGTGATATATGTTTGAAGTTTGATAATGGGATTATTTTTACTATGAAGAATGTGAGACATGTTCATAATCTGTGTCATAACCTGTTTTCTGTGGCTGCTTTTGGGGAGAGTGGGTTGGGGGTAAATGGGGAAGTGGTTGCATGAAAGTCTTGAAAATTTCTCTTGTTTTGTAGCTGTATGTTTGCCATGCTCAACCTTTATGTGATTCTGCTAATGTTGTGTGTCCTGATAAAACTGCTTTGTGGCATAGTACATTAGGGCATATGAGTAATAATGGTTTAGACATTTTGCATAAAGCTTCCTGTTTTGGGAAGGACTCTGTTTCTTCCATCCATTTATGTGAATCTTGTGTGTTGGGCAAGCATCATAAAGTTACTTTTCCTACTTCCTCTTACCCTATCTGTCTAAGCATTCATTTGTGCTTAAATATGTTCATGCCGATGATTGGGGTCCTGCCAGTGTTCCTTTCCACGGGGGTAGGGACACTTCCTTTCCATTATTGATGACTTCTCTATGAAGGTGTGTCTTCGCCTTTTAAAACACAAGTCTGATGTGTTTGTGAGATTTAGGGAGTGGAAAACCCTAATTGAAAACCAAACTGACAGGAAGGTAAAAACTCTTGAGTCTGATAATGGCTTAGAGTTCTGTAATAAAGATATGAATAAGTTGTGTGTGGATTGTGGGATAAAAAAGGCACAAAAATGTGCCTTATACTCCCCAATAGAATGGGATAGCTGAGACAATGAATAGGACCCTATTGGATAAGGTTAGAAGCATGTTAGCTACTTGTGGTTTGTCTAAGAAATTATGGGTTGAAGCAGTTATCAATGCTGCCGGTTTGGTTAATAGGTCATTTTCTGTCCCTCTAGATGGTAAGTGTCCTGAAACCATCTTTACCAGTAAGTCTCTTGATATGTTTAACTAGGGGTGGGTTCGGTTCTTTCAGTTCAGTTTTTACCTAAAACCAAATACGGAACCAAAGTAAAAATTTGGTTCGGTTTCGGTTCGGTTTTACACTCCAAAACTCGGAACCACGGTTTGATTGGTTCGGTTTGTTTCGGTTCGGTTTCGGTTCTTTCGATTTTTTAGCAAAAATTTGTCATTTGATTTAACATTGATATAATAGTTGGAGGGATCAAACATATTACATAAAAAATACAAGCATACTAAAATAAGTGAAGTAAAAATAAGAATAAAAAACATGTCTTGGATTATATGAGTATGCAGGAGAGATATAAGTGTATATATTCTTAATTTGCATTGTTTGTGACTAGTTTGAAAAAAATTCATGAATACATACATCATATGTGATATAGCTGAGATGAATATTTATTTGTTTTATCAATGTAAAAAATGTAAGTTACATAAAAATATAATTTAATTACTACAAATAACCTCTAAAAAAAATAATCATGCAACAAATTGCAACATACATACACACACACACACACACATACATACATACATAAAAGACATAATCGATCAATATAGCTACATTATTATGGACAAATGAATGAGTAAATGCATTTATAAACTAAACTAAACATAATATTATTTCTGTAGCACAAAAAAATCAAAGACTATTGATGATATTAGGATTAATGTTTAAAAATTAACAAATAAAATTTCATATTTTAATTAGTTCGGTTTGTTCGGTTCGGTTTTGAAGGGTAAAAACCAAAACCGAACCAAACAACTACGGTTCGGTTTTTTACATTCGGTTTCGGTTTTTAACGGTTCGGTTTTGTTTGGTCGCGGTTCGGTTTAATTTGATTCGGTTTTCGGTTTTCCGGACCCAGCCCTATGTTTAACCTCAGGGTGTTTGGCTGTGCAACATATGCACATCAACAGGTTGACAAGTTGGATCATATGTCTAAGAAATGTGTCTTCTTAGGATATCCAGAGGCGGTAAAAGGTTATAGGTTATGGGATAGGAACAATGTAGGCTTTGAGGTGGTCATTAGCAGAGATGTGGAGTTTAATGAATTTGATTTACCTTGCTTGACCAAGTCTGTTACTAATCCTGAGTCTAGGTCTGATAGTACTCCTAGTGAGGTGGAGTTTGTCCGCATTGCTCCTAGTCCTTTATTTGTTGATCATGTTAATAATGATGAGACTGTTTTGCATGATAATGATTCCTCTAAGCATGATAGTCCCACCATCCCTTGTAAGGTGGAACACAGGAACATTTACATGATGTTGAGCATGAATTGCATGATGTGAGTGATGAATATGATTTTCATGATGGCAACGATCTGCATGAGTTGCATGTGGAGCCTATTAATCATGATTTGCATAATTATCAACTTGTTGGAGATAGGAGTAGAAAGCCCATTAGAAGAATTGCTGACATTATGTCTAATTAAGCTTTCAATATGCATGATACTTTTATGTTTGCATTTTGTGTGTTTGAAACCCTAGAGTTGAATGAACCCAAGAACTATAGAGAAGTCTTAGGTTCCAAAGAGTCTCATAAGTGGATTAGTGCCATGAAGAGTGAGAAATACTCTTTGAGAGTGAAACAGACTTGGACCCTGTCCCTAGACCGTCTAACTGTTCTGTAGTTGAGTGTAAGTGGTTGTAGAAGGTTAAGGAAGAACCTAATGATGTTTGGTTTAAGGCTAGGTTGGTTGCAAAAAGAGTTTACTAAAAAAGAGGGGATAGATTATGCAAAAATCTTTGCTCCTGTTGTTAAGTTCACCACTATTAGAATGATGTCTGCTTCAGTTGCTCACCGTGATGGGGAAATGAAACAAATGGATGTGACTACTGCATTTTGCATGGTGAATTGGATAAAATGATTTATATGACCCAACATGCATGAGGGATTTGTGGATCCCAAGAGAAGTGAACATGTATGTTTGCTAAGGAGTGCTTTGCAGGGCCTGAAGCAATCCCCTAGCCAATGGAACATCAAATTTGATAAGTGCATGATATCTTTGAAGTTCCAAAATTTGTCTGTGATCATTGCCTGTAGTTCAAAAATACTTCTTATGTGTCTGTATTTTTGTTACTTTATGTGGATGACATGCTTATTATTAATTCTTCTCTTAAAGTCATTGAAGATGTGCAAAAATGCTTTGTGCTAATTTTGGTATGAAAGACCTAGGTGACGTCAAGAGGATCCTAGGCATAAACATTGCTACGGATATGGGCAAGTGTACTCTTACTTCGAATCGGGTTTCTTACACTGAAACAATTTTTGAGTAAATTTAATATGTTATATGCTTCTCTTGTGAGTGTCATTATGGCTTCTCACTTTATGTTAAATAAGGACCAATCTCCCAAGACTGCTCCTAAAATTGAGAAAGTGAAATATGTGCCTTATTCCAGTGCAATAGGATCGGTTATGTACCTTATGGTTAGAACTAGGCCTGATGTTGCATATGTGATTAGTTGTTTGAGTATATATATATGTCCAACTCTGGTGTACCTCATTGGAATGCTCTTAAGTAGTTACTTAGATATTTGATATCTACTGTGAAGCATGAATTAATTTTCTCTAAGTGTTATAGTGGTATTCAGTTGATTGGGTATGTTGACTCTAATTATGCAAATGATAGAGACAATAGGAAATCCATTACTTTCTATGAGTTCACTTTGTTTGGTTCTTGCATTCGTTGAAAATCTCAATTACATCCCATTGTTGCATTATCTACCACTGAATCTGAGTATCTTGCAATCACAGAAGCGTTTAAGGAAGCTATTTAGCTCAAAAGCCTTGTCTCCGAAATTGGATTTCTCAACCGGGGAGTTGTTGTTTTCTTGAATAGCCAATCGACAATTCAATTTTGCAAAAACCAGTATATCATGATAGGACTAAACATTGATGTTAGGTTCCATTTTAATCGTGATACTGTTGACGCAGTTGGAGTCAAGTTGTGCAAGATACCGTCCGAGTTTAATCCTGTGGATATGGGTACCAAGTGTCTTGCCACCGAGAAACACTTGTCCTGTAAACGCGTGTTAAACTTTGATTTTGAATAGTTGTGGTTTGCTTACTAATTGTTTGCCTGTTTTATCTTTCATGATATTCCGAGTGACCCGACGATGATGAGTATCCTCACAATCTTGTATTGTTACTTTACACCACTTAGGACTAATAAGGTAAAGAATGTTGGAGGCATTGGCCATACTAAGGCCTCTCTTACATTTAATTTAAGATTTGCATCTTATGTTTACTCCCTCTATTATATGTTGGGGAATTATTATCGCCACCATCATAGGCCGACGTCTTCCAGCGAACTGCTTCTTCTTCCTTCCTCTCCGGAAACTTCCAATGGCAATTCTAAGCGTGGTTGTCGCCCTCTTCTGCTCTCATCCGGAAACTAGTTCCTGCACACAAAAATAACAAGAAAGACAATGGCTCGAGACGCGTCAGACGCTGTCCTTAAGAAAGTATTTCCGGTGGCCGGAAATCTTTCCCCAGGATATAACGAGCCCATCGGCGAATCGCCGGACACAGAACTACGAGGATAGAATTTATCATTTTGTAATATAATCCAGCAGTGTTTTTAAAGATAATAGTAATATATATGGGGGTGTTTATATACTTCGTATTACTCCATAGAAGAAGAGTAAACAAAGTATGTCAAGGAGTATATTAATTAGTACGAGTATACGAAGTATATAAAAGAATAAAGCTTAAGAGCCTAGCTACCTTCTATTGCTGCGTTGTAGAAGTTTTATAAGGAAAAGATAGGTTTGTTATTGATCCTAAATAAATGGAGATAAAGAAGCTCAACCAAGTTATGTTGGTCAACAACCATGCACGTTAGAGAGTGGGATAATATCCATTTCAATAATAAAAAGCAAAGATAATTAAAAACTAAAATGTCACCACGTTTAGGAAAGGTTCGGCCAAAATAAATTAAATACGTTATCCATTTACAATTAAATTTGTTTATTTGAAATACACTAATTTTCCAACAATCCCCCACATATTTCAAATAAAAATTTAAGGTTAAAATAATTTTGAAAATCTGCAATTTAGAAAATCCGCTGGATTAACGGGAATGAGACTTTAAGTCTGGTGTCCGGAAACTATGAACCAAACCAAGACGATTAAGTCTTTACAAACCGAGCTTCTGGTGAAACATATAGTTTCTATGAACCAGTAAGCTACTATGGTAAGTCAGGGTCTTAATGGCCATGTCTCACCCCCCACAATTCCTCGCGTTAACGCCGTGGTGCGCCTTTCGGCCGTGCGCGTGCCTGGTGTTCGTGAGTGCTCTAGAAGCGTTGTCATGCTTCATGGAGGCGGCCCCACCTCACACTCATATAGGTGACCTCATCAAGTGTGTTCTGCACTTAACACACCAGCCATAAGGCTATGAAAATCATTAAGAGTTTTAGCTCAGCCTCACAGCGAATGCAGTCTAGCCTCACCCTAGAAATGAACATAATAGGCTAGCAGGAACAAATAGAAGACTTGTTATTACCCATATGAACTTGCTTCATGGGATCTCCAATCGCACAAGTTGGGTTACCATCCCTATTTGTTAACAAGTGACAGTCCATTTCCCTCGATGTATAAAAATGATAATATCCGGATTTTCGCGCGCCAAAGGAGATAATTAACTCCTCTTGTCAAACTTAATAATAACTTTATATTTAATTCATACGGTATTATTGTATACGTCTATACAACAATATCACGTAAAATCATATCATCATTGTATGTCTTTAATACAATGGTTTAGCTCACCAAATACACTTTCGTGATTCCACAATTTTGCTCTATCTTCCGACATTACGTCGGGTTTCACACAGTTTGTTATTTTTAACAAACTCACTATTATAATATTCATAATGAACATTAAAATTTATTTCTCCAATGTGAAACTCAACATCACTTGTGTGATATTCAACTCAGATGACATCGTTGTATCCCGATAATTAATACAACGGATAACTCTCAATAAACTATATGACATTATTGTATCATTATAATACAATGGATAACTATATCATATAACATCATTGTACTACTCTAGTACAATGACTATTTCTCAATAAAACATGTCATCGTTGAATCAATTTATTACAACGGATAATCTCAATCAAATGTATGCCATAATTAATGGTATCTGAACTATCCCGTTTGGATTTAATATATTGGCTCAATCTTCTGACATTTTATGTCAGGTTTAACATAGTTTGTGGATTTTTAATCACAAATTCACACTTTAAGAATCAAAATAAATTTCTATAAAATCACCAAATATACTTGCCTTATATTCAACCCAATATAGACTGAGTTCCACAGCTATCAACAAATAATAGCATGCATAATAATTCCATATGCTATTTACGAAATTCACCACATACATATTAATAAATAGGCAGTATAATATATTTAGTTTGTAGAACTACTACATACGTGCAAAACAGATATTATGCGGAGTATGTCATTAGGTTGCATCACTATGAGCAAGCCAAAAATATTTAAGTACCCCCACATTTTATATATTTAAAAATTAGGCTCATATATATTTCACATATGAAAGAAAGGGCACAAAATATAGTCATCCAAAACAACTAACCAGGCCGCATGCATGCAAATAGAATTCTTACCTCACCAATTAAAACCAATTAAAAGTATGACCAATTAACGAGTTCTTCTAACAAATCAATCAAGCAAATATCATGAATGCTGATTTACGTAACATGCATTCAAATTAAGCTTTACCGATGCTGCTTTCAATTTTTCAACAAGCACAATTATTTACTTACTACCAAAATTAAAACTATATACACCAGTGAACACAATATAATAGCAAGAATTTATACATTTTTCAAAGATACTCAGTATGACACGGTAGGCAGTAAAATGATGAAATAATAGCAATTGAGATTACTAACTCAGGTAAACTGGAAAATTCCAACGAATGTGAATAATTAGAAATACTAAACACACAACATTTATCTCACAATAGCCTTTGCCCATAAAAAACATCATTTTGACCATACTAAATTCGTCCGAATCTTAGCCACATGGAACACGCCATTTAATGATAAAGTTTTTCCCGATGTGAGTTTACGATTTGAGTCCGCTAGGTACTCTAGCTTTTCGTCATCTCCTATATATAGTGATATAGAAGGTAAATGCATTTTTGTTTTTACAAATGTGTTTGGTAGCCCAGAGTCTACCTTCCACTCATTCGCATCATTAATTTTTACATCTTTGAGAAACAACCACAATACATTATCATCACTTTTACTCAAGTACTTTGGACTTGATTTAAGTGGAGTGTTGTTTTCCATAGTCGTCTTTTTATCACTAAAGACAGTATCATTAAAATAACAGGGATTAAACTAAGGCTAATTACAAGTATAAAGGTAAGTAAAAAATTCAACAACTCGCAACACACATACGCATGCAACACTAAAATAGATAAAATGGTTGTTAATAAAATAATTAACAGAAGTACCATATTCTCCATTTGGGTGCCTCAAAGCCACAGGAGCGCGCATATGTCTTGGAAGAAATTACTCGCTGGGAGAACAAGCAAAAACAAGCAGCGGTCCATAGGGAAGTGTTGTGTTTCATTCTTGCCAAATACTTTCTTAAGATTGTTGGGGAATTATTATCGCCACCATCATAGGCCGACGTCTTCCAGCGAACTGCTTCTTCTTCCTTCCTCTCCGGAAACTTCCAATGGCAATTCTAAGCGTGGTTGTCGCCCTCTTCTGCTCTCATCCGGAAACTAGTTCCTGCACACAAAAATAACAAGAAAGACAATGGCTCGAGACGCGTCAGACGCTGTCCTTAAGAAAGTATTTCCGGTGGCCGGAAATCTTTCCCCAGGATATAACGAGCCCATCGGCGAATCGCCGGACACAGAACTACGAGGATAGAATTTATCATTTTGTAATATAATCCAGCAGTGTTTTTAAAGATAATAGTAATATATATGGGGGTGTTTATATACTTCGTATTACTCCATAGAAGAAGAGTAAACAAAGTATGTCAAGGAGTATATTAATTAGTACGAGTATACGAAGTATATAAAAGAATAAAGCTTAAGAGCCTAGCTACCTTCTATTGCTGCGTTGTAGAAGTTTTATAAGGAAAAGATAGGTTTGTTATTGATCCTAAATAAATGGAGATAAAGAAGCTCAACCAAGTTATGTTGGTCAACAACCATGCACGTTAGAGAGTGGGATAATATCCATTTCAATAATAAAAAGCAAAGATAATTAAAAACTAAAATGTCACCACGTATAGGAAAGGTTCGGCCAAAATAAATTAAATACGTTATCCATTTACAATTAAATTTGTTTATTTGAAATACACTAATTTTCCAACATTATATACCTATAATTTCTTCTCTTTGTGGTCATTCATTTCCTGTTGATTTCTCTTGGCGGCGGCCCCTTGGCTTGCTATCCGTTGCAGTGTCTTTTGTCTGGCCTCACCCGTGGCTTACCATTTTGGCCACCTGCCTATTATTAGTATCCTTGGCTTCTTCTAGTGAAAATGATCTCGAGAGAAATAGAGTGAGACAGAGAGTTTCCTCCTTCACCTTTCTTTGTGCGAGAGGTCCTTTGTGGAAAGGGTGAAAGAGTAAATATTGTGAGAGGTGGAGTGATCTAGCCTATGTGGTGTGTGTGAGTAGCCTAGAAGTTGGAGACTTGAGCTGGATACAGGATCAATTCAGAACAATGTTTATGGTTCATAATTTGAACCACTCCCGACCAAAACAACAAATCCTCTCGATCTGGTTATGATTCCAATCCATGGTTATAGTTCTGACCCAAAACTGTCAGACGGATATCAGTTAGGATGTTTTTATTTGGACTTGAATTTCCTGCTCTGGTCTGATCTGGTGGTCTGAACTGGTCTGATTTGATCTGATAATGTCTGATCTTTGCGTATTTTAGAACTGTCCAAATTTGATATGGCCTGGTCTGATCTAGTCTGATAAGGTCTGATATGGTCTGCTCTACGATTGAAAACAATCCAACTAAAAATATTTTTGCTAATCAACTCATTTCTACATGGACCGATCGCTAGACCAGTGTGGCCCTGCCCACCCCTATTAAGTATTCCCTCTGTCCCATTGGATTTTGCCAACTTTCCCTTTTTGATTGTCCCAAAAAATCTTGCCACTTTCCTACTAAAGCAACTAATTTGTGGTTCTGCATATTTATCTCTCCTCTGCACAAATTTTAACCTCACAGTTTTTACTATTCTTAATTTGAGAATATTATCCAAAATAGGACTAAAAAAAGTTTGAAAATTCCAAAATAGGACTGCCATGTTTTTTATTTTCAAAATAAGACTAATTACTGCCATGTTTTGGCAGTACCAGACTTCAAATATGGCAATATTTTCCAAACATGACAGTAATTACTCCTATTTTGGGAATAAAACATGACAGTCCTATTATAGAATTTTCAAACTTTTTTGATCTTATTTCAGGAACTTTACGTTCTTATTTCTCACCTACTTTGCATTTGGCAAAGTCCAACCACACTAAGTGAATATTATTATCAGATATTACCCAAAATGGGACTAAAAAAGTTTAAAAATTCCTAAATAGGACTTCCATGTTTTTATTCCCAAAATAAGACTAATTACTGCCATGTTTTGGCAGTATCAGACTTCAAACATGGCAGTATTTTCCAAATTTGGCAATAATTAGTCCTATTTTGAGAATAAAAATATGACAGCCCTATTTGAAAATTTTAAACTTTTTTAGTCCCATTTCGGGAACTTTCCTATATTATTATATCGAGTATTATACATTTATACTACTACGAAAGTACGAAGTACGAAGCACGTATTTTGTTGGAGTTTCCTGGTCTCTTCAGGATCCAAATTCATCCCTCAATCAACCACCTCTTCAAATCTGAGTTTCTACATAAGAAACTTTTATCGCGACTCGCCAGAAAGCCCTCGGATTGTACGCCTGGTTCCCAGAAAACTAGGCTGGTCGATCCGAAAAGAGACCCCTGAATTGAATCGGTAAGCTCAATTTTTCCGTCCTTTATTTCTGTATTACGTCAAGAATGTTCTATTTTAAGATCCATCCGCTTATACATAGATTTAGGAGTTTATTTTCTTTTCTTTTCAGTCACTGTTCTTGAAATTGAATCTGTTTGTTTCACAAAGATGGATGGGAACAAAGATGAAGCTCTCAAGTGCTTTGAAATAGCCAAAGATTCAATCAAATCCGGTAACAAAGAAAGGGCTTTGAAATTCTTGAATAAAGCTAAGCGTTTAGACCCAAACCTTAAAACCGATGATCTGTTGTCTAAAATTGAGGCTGAGAATGAATCTCCGAACATACCCACCAAAGAGGACTCATCAGGATCTTCAAAACCATCAGAAACTAGGACTAGACGAAGGAGTTCAGTAAATAAGGAGCCGGGGTCACCTTCTTGTTCATCGGAAAGCGGGGTTAGTTACACAGAGGAGCAAGTGGCAATTGTGAGAGAGATCAAGAGGAAAAAGAATTACTATGAGATTTTAGGATTGGAGAAGAGTTGCAGTATGGATGATGTTCGGAAAGCTTATAGAAAGCTTTCTTTGAAGGTTCACCCTGACAAGAACAATGCCCCGGGGTCTGAAGAGGCTTTTAAGATGGTGTCTAAGGCATTCCAGTGTTTGAGTGACGAGGAGAATCGTAAAAGGTATGACCTTGTTGGGGAAGATGATGCGTCCACTTATGAGAGGCAAACAACTAGACGCCACACTGGTGGTGGAATGAGGCAAGGGTTTTACTATGATGACGTGGACGCCGAAGAAATCTTCCGGAATTTCTTTTTTGGGGGAAATCCTGTAGCAACTACCCATTTCAGTTTCGGGCCTGGGGTCGGGGTCCGTGTCGGAGGACATAATGGGTCAAGCGGGCTTGCCCGGACCTTGGTTCAGTTTTTGCCGGTGATACTGATTGCGTTAATGAGCTTTTTGCCTTCATCAGATCCAGTTTATTCTTTCTCGAGATCATACCCTTATGAGCAGTTATTTACTACTCGCAGGGGTGTAAATTATTACGTGAAGCCTGGAAAGTTTGAGCAGGAATATCCTCCCAGCAGCCCGAAACGGGTGAAACTAGAGGACGGGATTGAAAAGGATTATTACAATAGCCTTGCTTATAACTGCCGTCTTGAAGTCCAACAGGTGCATTGGGGGTATAGACAGGCAACACCAAATTGTGATGCATTGAAGAAATTCCAGGCAATGGCTTCATATTAGCCTTTCTCTGCATTGCAGTTTTACCATTCCTTTTTACATCCTTTCTCTACATTGCAGTTTACCATTCCTTTTTCTAGTACACAGATTGCAGACTCTGAATATAACCACACATTATGCTTGCTTGATATTAGTTCTTGGAAGAGCTTCTGACTAGAAATAGATGAAGAATGCTTGTCCTCGAAAACGGATACGTCCTTGTGCTTTAAAATAATTTAATGGTCATTATATTTATGACCATAGTTTTCTTAGTGTTTTAGCGTTTATGATGGCCTGCAGGTAAGTTTTATGTGTGTTATCTGTGTAGTATTTGTATACTTACGTGATGTATCTGGTTTTAATTTGCACCAGAATCAAAGTGGCATTGTTTTATCCCGATGACCCGATGTAAGTAAAAAAGAAACACAATTTATCAGTGTTTTCAAGTTCATCTACTAAAAGTCTAAAATGAGAGTAATTTGGATTGGCCTGTTTTAAAAATTTGAAACTTTTTGATTATTTTGTGCCAAATGATAACAACTAAACAGTAAACATTGACACACATACAGAGTATTACTCCGGACTACATATGTCCCAATAGGGGTGGATTCGGGTCGGGCCACCCGGCCCGGGACCGGCCCGGCCCATTACTGTGCGGGACCGGCCCGGTTCTCGGGTCCGGGTCCAGGTCGGGCCTAGGCCCGGGGGGAGGGCGGGTCCGGGCTCGGGTCATGGTTTTGGCGAACCGGACCGGCTGGTTCGGGCCGGGTACCGGGCCTATTTTTATTTTATTTTTTTTCAATTTTTTTTAACTTTTTGGGTTGTGCTGGGTATTTTGGGCCATTTGGGGTGGTTTGGGGGTGGGGGGGTTGGGGGTTAACTAGGAAAAGGAGAAAAAAAGATTGCAAGTACCCGAGGCCCGACCTGGACCCGGACCCGTGGATTACCCGGGCCGGTCCCGGGCCCCCCATTCTTGAACCGCCGGCCCGGTCGGGCCTAGGCCCGGCCCGGGTCCGAACCGGCCCGGCTCCAACCCTATGTCCCAAAATGAAACCAAAGTATCAAGGATGTTTATAATTAGTTTATTATGAAGAGTGTTTTTAATTGGATTGATTAAGTCTCGAATTAGATTTAAACAAATTATATAAAAAAGATCTACTCCGTAGATAATACAAGACTTACCTTTGTTGGATACTTGGGTGTTCTATTTAAAGGTCATGTTTCTATTTTAGAAAACCTTTAACACTCATAAAGGATAAATTAATCATCATATATTAGAAATAATATTTTCAAAATATCACAATTATCGCCAATTATCTGATTATGTTATATACTCACTCAAAATAGTTCTAAAAATGTACACAAATTACATTCTTTAGTTTATTTATACTAAAAATTGATATCGAACAGCTTTGCACACATATTGAAAATGGTCACACATTTGTGCTTCATAGTTCATACGCATCAGCTTTGCTTAATGGGCTTTGTAGTCCTTTTATAAATATTTTACATGTAAAATTATTTTTCAAACAAACACTTTAAAGAGTTTGCATGTAATTTAAAAAAAGATTACATAGATAGCCAAATTTATTTTACATTTTAATGTGTGAACTACTAAACCAGCCCCAACTCTAAACTCTAAACTATTAAACCCGAAGCTTGAATCCCAAAACCCTAAACAGTACCAACCCCAAAGCCTAATATGAGAATCCTACATCTTAACTGATATTCATATAATTGAAGCCTAACGAATGACCAAAATGGATCACATGTTGTAGTTAGATGCCATATCTGGTAGGTTTCTTGACGAGACAACCCAGAGAAAACTAGTGCTGGACTCGGGCCGGTTCGGGCCCGGTTCGGGCCTGGGCCCGGCCGGGCCTCGGGCCAGGAAAGGGAGGCCCGAGCCCGAACCGCCGGTGGCCGGTTCCGGTCCCGGTTCCGGGCCAAACCGGGCCGGGCCGGGCCGAACCGGCCCAATTAATTAATTTTTTTTTGTTCTCCTATTTAATCCCCTACCCCTCCCCCTCAACCCCAAA